CCATAGAACTCTTATCCCAGGATTATGTTTCAATTTATTTATTTATTTATTGTCAGCTTTCTTCACTGTCCATGTAGTGACATGGATGTTTCTGACTTTGGGGTGCTTCAAGCTGCTCCTGCCGAAGCTGCATTGGGGCTATGGCAAGCATATGCCATGGCCCCAATTCACCTTGAAGCTGGCTGAAAAAGAAGCGGCAAAGATCCACTCCTTTTTTGGCCAGCAACAAATGGCTTTCACACCCTGCAGCATCTTGAAGCTGGCTGCAAGGTGCTCCAGCAGCATTCGGTGTATAAGTGCTGTGCCACTGCCAGAGCATCTTGAAGCCGCCCACATCTAAACAGCTGGGGGCTTAAAGACATCCTGGGGTCATGCGGCATCTAAACGCCATGCCCCCACACCGCCCGGAAGGCGTCTTTACCGGGCTGTCTGTTTCAGCCCTTTGGTATTCAGAGACTTTGGTGTATAGGTTGGTGTATAGGTGCATAGCTACTTCATTACTACCCTTCCAAATCTTAGTCTTCTTTTGATTTCTTGATTGCAGTCTCCATTTTGATTAAATATAAGGCATAGAAAATTTTCACCATCAAAGATCACTGTAGGATAGTTTTTCTGTTGATTCTCTCTGGGCTAAATGTAAGCCTTTGAGATGGGGCAGAATGGGGAGAAGTCAAAAAAAGTTGAGTGTTAGCTGGCAGCTGGATTAGAGGTAAAGAAACCTCATCCAATTTTATTTTATCAAATTGTAAACTCTTAAATATCCAAGCAGTGAACTATATAGATCCAATATAATGCAGTAAATTAGATTAGAACAGGGGTAGGCAACCTTTTTGAGCTGGGGGCCAGGTTGCTGTTCCTCAGACAATTGGGGGGGCCGAACCACCAAAAATAAATAAATAAATAAATAATTTTAAAAAATATATATGCATGCACACTCTCTCAGCCCCAGAAAAGCCATGGCAAAACCCCTGTGGAGATTTTGCCAAGAAAACCCCAAGAACAAGTAATAACAATAATCAATATCATCATAGTGGGCGGCGGCGGCGGCAGCGGCAGGACCGGCCTGGGCCAGTCCAAAGGCCTCAGGGTGCCGTATCCGGCCCCCGGGCCTTAGGTTGCCTACCCCTGGATTAGAATAACCAGTCTTAAAAACAATCGTAAAAACCTATGCCTAGGTCACAATTCAGAGAAAACTTGCATGAAAAGAAATGTTTTAAACAAGCAAAGGATACTGAACAGTGGCTTACTTAAGAAAAATCAGTAGGGAATTCCATAAGTTTCAAGTGGCTCTGTTAGTAAGATTTCTACTGCTGAACAATGTCATAGGGCAAAGGAGAAAGCAGAACCTTGGTCCTGTGCTTTTAGGTTGTTATAAATGTCAAACCTTGACACTAGTTCAGCAGCATGATGTTAGATTATTTATTTATTTATTTAATTTCATTTTTTTTATGCCGCCTTTCTCTCAGAAAGAGATCCAAGGTAGCTCACAAATTGTTAGATGTTAGTAGATTGTTAACAACATGTGTGAGAGGCAGTCAGTAACTTAGGTCATCTGGATACAGCCTTCATTTCAGCAGGGGGAAGTTACCTATGATAGTCCAAACACTGTTAGGATGTGGTATGATTAGTTTAGTGGGGAGTGAAGGACCCTTATTCACCTTGAGACCACCCGTCATCACTTGACATAAAGACCGATTGAGGGGATGCCTTCCTCTGTGTGTTGAGTCCTTGATAACTTGAGTCAACCCCATGGTATTCATGGAGGCCATGAAGTCCGGAAGTGACCCGGAGGCTGCCTTGGTGGAGATCATAGTTCTGTGTTCCTCTAGCACTCCACTTGAAAGAGTTGACAGCCTACTGGCATCATCTGGAGCCTTTCTCTGTGGCTCAATTCCAGCTGGTGTTCAGTATAGCCCAAGGTCAATAGGTTTCCCAGTGACCAAAGATCAGTCCTATAGTAGGATTTCATGACCTTATCTAAATTGGTTCTAGAGTATCTGGGCAGGCAGAGCTGGATTAGTTCAGGCCTTCTTAGTTTACCCAGTTGTTGTTGTTAACTGCCTTCAAATTGACTTTGTCCTATGGTGACCCTATGAATGAGAGAGCTCCAAGTCATCCTATCCTCAATTCAGCTCTTCAGATTCATGGCCGTGGCGTCTCTGATTGAATCTATCCATCTGGTATATAGTCTTCCTCTTTTCCTATTGCCCTCAGGATTACCAAGCATTATTATGTTTTGTATTGAGTCCTTTCTTTTCATGAGATGGCTAAAATGCAACAACCTCAGTTTAGTCATTTTTGCTTCTAGGGCTTGATTTGCTCTAGGATTGATCCATTGGACTTTTTAGCATTCCACAGTATTTGCAGAACTTTTCTCCAACACTATGTCCCAAATGAGTTGATTCTTATTCTATCAGCTTTCTTCACTGTTCAGCTCTCACAATCATAGAAATGGGGAATATGATGGCATGGACAATCCTAACGTTAGTGTTTAATTATATATCTTTATACTTCAGGATCTTATTCCTTCATATTTGCCCTTCGAAGTCTGGTTGATGACTGAGCCCAAGTATGAAAAATCTTGAACTATTTCGAAGTCTTACCCAGTTATAATGCTAATTCAGCTTCTTTGACTACAATTATGGATGAGCATCAAGGATCCCAGAACTGGTTTTAAGGGGAGGGCTTGATATTGGTAGGTGGGTAGTTATTAATTTTTGGATCCTTAAATATGAACACTCTTACCAGTACAGTGTCTACATGTGTTCAGTGTAGCTTATTCTAAAGTAATTGTGCATAGGATAGACTGCAGGAAGCCTTAATTATCCATGGGAGGGCTCAGTGACTGTAGCTGTTTTAATAGTGCTTGAGCATTTAGTGCATTTATGATTGACAATTCCTGAGGAAGCTCAACTACATAAGAATCTGAATGGAAAGCTCACCCCCCTAGCCTAGTTTTAGGGGAGGCTCAAATCCTTCCCCCATCTTTTCCAGAGTCCATGATAAGCATTGTTTTATTTAATGACATGGATTAAATACTGTAACAGTTCTGCCAAGCCAAATAGGACAGTAGAGGAACAATGAATCCCAGTAGGGATGTGCCCAGAACTAGAGAGAGGGAGAGAGATGAAACATTTAGATTCCTTTCTCCTGTGATGGGAAAATCCTCCTCTCCAATTTATGGGCTTTAAAATTGCTGCACAGACCAGTGTCACTGGATCCAATACTTAGTAGTAATGAGTAGTAAGTAGAAATAGATTCATATTAGCACCTCGGAAGAAGAAGATTGCATTGCATTATGCTTTTCTAATTAGTATGTACCTGTAAACATCTGTTCAGCATATAGCAGGGCTGATTAACCACAAGGGTGGTTTTTAATTTCAGTTATATGTGAATAATTGGATTAGCTTGTTTCATTGTATACCATCAATGGGGGAGGGGAGCGATTTGGCAAAAGACTGCTTGACCATGCAATCTGACAGTGTTTTGAAACTTAGCCTCTCTTAACATTTCTGGTTTATCTCCTTTTAGCTTTCACAACTTATAGTGAATGCAGGAGGAGTTGCTGCTGTCATTGACTGCGTTGGCAGCTGCAAAGGAAATGTTAGACTCCCAGGGATCATGATGCTGGGCTATGTGGCAGCTCACTCAGAGAACCTTGCCATGGCGGTGATCATCTCCAAGGTCAGTTCTTGGTTCCTGATAGTTGCAGTCATCATAGTATTCTGAGAAGATTATGCAAGCAAACATGGGGTGAAGAAAGTGGATAGTGAGAAACTTTTCTCACTCTCTTATAATATTAGAATTCAGTTGCATTCAGCTGAAGTTGAACAGGAGGTGATTCATTACAGATAAATGAAGTAGTACCTTGTACAGTGCATACTTAAATGATAGAATTCACTTCTACAAAGTATTGTGATGGCTGCCAGATTGGTTAACTTTAGAAGAGGATTAGATTTCATAGAGGTTAGGTCTGTCAGTGGCTACTAATCAGGAGGATTATTTATCATCTCCAGTATCAGAGTTGCTATGCCTCTGTATATCAGTTGCTGAGGAATGAGAGAGGGAGGATGCATTTGCAGTCAGGACCTATGGGTGGGCTTCCCATAGGCAATGGGTGAACCACTGTATGAAAAAAGTGCTTGACTAGATAGGGTTTTGTTGGATCCAGCATGGCTCTTCCTATCTTGTTATGACTGTAGTGCTATCATTTGAACAGTGTGTTCGAGAGACATGACAACACATACCAAAGACAGGGAATACATCTGGTTGTAAGAACACACTGTGTGTGACATGACTTGAGGACTCATTTGCAAAACTCCTCTCTGCCATAATGCTTATGAATGTTCTTAGGACAGATCTCTCAAGCTAACTTGCTTCACAGGGTGAATGAGCGAGATTGCTTTTTTTGTTTGAGGATAATATTGCATTAGCGAGTGGGAGGGAAAAACTGTGTGCACTACCTCAAGCTTCTTGTAAGAAAGGCTGGATATAAATGATAAAAAACCTCTTTTACTGTAAATCTCTCATCAGCATTACAGGCAGATTTTGTGAGAACTCTTGAGGAGACATTCCCAGTGGCTGCTCCCAGCCTGTGGAATTCCTTTCCACAGGAGCAGGCAAATATCTTTTTATCTGGACAAATTTTAAATGTTTGCTGCAGAATAGCCTTTTAATGGGGAGTGTTGTATTTTTATCTGCATTGTTATGTCTTAAATGTTTTTAAACTGTTTTAAATTACTGCTCTTTTAATAGAATAGTTAATTTAATTCCTATTAACTTGTTTTTAGAACACTTGTGATTAGCTTATAGCTGCATTTTGTTTAATCAAGTTGTGAGTTGCCTTGGGTCCTGTGTTGGGAAAATGTCAGGAAATAAATTGACAAATCAATAATCAAATAGGAAATATGCCAGTCCTGCTGTAAAATGTGTTGGATGTTCATCAAAGATAACTGAGAAAATGCTTTGAAAAAATGATTATTTAATTCTTTTAAGTTAAGGCAGATATAATAATTCAGTGGTAGAGCACATGCTTTTTATGTAGAAGGTTCCAGGTTCAATTTCTGGCATCTCCAGGTAGGGATAGGAAACAGTCCTACCTTAAAGCTTCTGCTAGTCAGTGCTGGCAGGACTGAACTAGATCCTTTAATGGTTTTACTTGTGGTATTGGGCAGCTTTTATATCCTAGTAGAATTCCTCCTTCATTGCATCATCTAAATATGATTAAGTATCAATCTTGATGCTTTTGTGGGATCTTGGTTTTAAAGCAGGGATTGTACTCATAACCTGTTCATAGAAGTGCTTAACAGGGCAATCCTCCCATTAAGTTGGGCACTCTTGCAGCAGAATGAAAAGGAAAGAAACACAGCATGCACCATGTCTCACTTCATCTGCAAGTATATTTTTTAAATCACTTGGTCTCTTGGCTTTTTTAAAAAGACCAAAGCGATTACAGTGAACTAGTTGCAAGATTATGGGAATAATTTTGTAAAATATGTTAGAAGTTTTTTGATATGAACGTAAACCTCTCCTCTCATAAGGTAGGAGGTAGAAGTCTAGGAATTAATTTTGGAATTGAAATTCATTTATTGCTTAGCTTTGAGGTTGAGTTTAAGCATGGTTATAAATACTCTGTTGAAACTTTGGGAGTTTTGTTTATTGTAGGTTGTATGTGAATATGTTTTAAGGGGTTGGGGGTGTAGTTGGTGAGTGGGGAGGAGTCGAGTTTGTCAATATATTGTCTTGTGATTTGTGTTTTAATTGTTTGTCACTGGTCTGTATTTTGTACTTAATAAACCAAATTAAAAAAAAAAGACCAACTGGTCTTAATCTTTTCCTTTGCTGAGGATGTGATGGAGGTCTGGGAGAGCTTTGGATACTACATAAACACAGCCTTTCCC